CTTGCTACTTGCTACTTGCTACTTACTACGTACTCGTACTACTTTACTACTTACTACTTACTTACTTCCTACTTCCTACTTCCTACTTCCTACTTCCTACTACTACTTCCTACTGCCTACTTCCTACTTCCGATACTTCTACTTCCTACTTACTACTTCCTACTTCCTACTTGCTACTTGCTACTTGCTACTTGCTACTTGCTACTTTCTACTTTCTACTTTCTACTTTCTACTTTCTACTTTCTACTTTCTACTTTCTACTTTCTACTTTCTACTTACTACTTACTACTTACTACTTACTACTTACTACTTACTACTTACTACTTACTACTAACTACTAACTACTAACTACTAACTACTAACCAGTACTACTAGTACTACTACTACTACTACTACTACTTCTACTACTCCTACTACTGCTACTACTACTACTACTACTCCTACTCCTACTCCTACTCCTACTGCTGCTGCTGCTGCTGCTGCTGCTGCTACTGCCACTGCCACTGCCACTGCCACTGCCACACTACCACTACTACTCCTACTACTACTCCTACTACTACTACTACTACTACTACTACTACTACTACTACTACGATACTACTACTAGTACTAGTACTAGTACTAGTACTAGTACTAGTACTAGTACTAGTACTAGTACTACTACTACTACTACTACTACTACTACTTCTACTACTACTACTACTAGTACTACTACTACTACTACTACTACTACTACTAGTAGAAGTATTAATATTACGCGCGGGTTCCGCTCGTCTGCGTTTCGCGCGGGTTCCGCGCGTTATGCGCGTCTGCGTTTCGCGCGGGTTCCGCGCGTGTTGTTCTGCGTGGGTTTCGCGCGTGTCGTCGCATTTAAATTTCTTCAAGAGATGTTTATATTACGACGAATATTACTACTACTTTTACTAATTATAATGTAATCAATTTTACGATTACTTTCATTTCTACTACATATGCGATATTATTACTACTACTACTGCTACTACTACTATTGCTACTAATGCTATTATTGCTAATACTACTATTGCTACTACTACTACTACGACGACGACGACGACGACTACTACTACTACTACTAGAAGTATTAATAGCACATGCCCCCCCCTTAAGGGGGGGTGGGCCCCGCTTAACACTAAATATATGTAAACCGACGTCCCCAAAACATGTATTCTTGCAGACCTAAGATTCTGAGGATTTAGATGGATCTAGACATAGTGCATGTCACCAGGTACATGTCTCTTATACGCATGGCACCCAGGTGCAACTACACTTACGTGTTTTTTTTACCTCATGTTTTCATGCTATACCGCTTTTTTCCCCACCTGCCAGGTGAGGGTTGTTAGATTTTATGTCAGTTGCCTCCTCCTCCTCCTCCTGCTCCTCCTGCTCCTCCTCCTCCTCCTGCTCCTCCTCCTCCTCCGCCTCCTCCTGCCTCGTCCTCCTCCTCCTCGTCCTCCTTGTCATCCTTGTCGTCCTCGTCGTCCTCGTCGTCCTCGTCGTCCTCGTCCAACTGCGACCCGCGATCCACAGTGTTCTCTGCCGGACCTCAACCACGACCATCCACGCCCAGTGTTCCCTGCCGGACCTCAACCACGACCATCCACGCCCAGTGTTCCCTGCCGGACCTCAACCACGACCATCCACGCCCAATGTTCCCTGCCGGACCTCAACCACGACCATCCACGCCAAGTGTTCCCTGCCGGACCTCAACCACGACCATCCACGCCCAGTGTTCCCTGCCGGACCTCAACCACGACCATCCACGCCAAGTGTTCCCTGCCGGACCTCATGTAGGAATGTCAGATAGACTGCCAGATAGAATGCCAGATAGAATGTCAGATAGGATGCCAGATAGAATGCCAGATAGAATGCCAGAAAGAATGCCAGAAAGAATGCCAGATAGAATGCCAGATAGAATGACAGATAGGATGCCAGATAGAATGCCAGATAGAATGCCAGAAAGAATGCCAGAAAGAATGCCAGATAGAATGCCAGATAGACTGCCAGATAGAATGTCAGATAGAATGTCAGATATAATGCCAGATGAATGCCAACATATATGCCCAGAATATATGTCAGATAGAATGCCAAAATATATGTCAGACATAATGCCAGATAGAATGCCAGAATATATGCCAGAATATATGTCAGATAGAATGCCAGAATATATGTCAGAATAAATGACAGGTAGAATGCCAGAATATATGTCAGATGAAATGTCAGAAAATATGTCAGATAGAATGCCAGATAGACTGCCAGATAGAATGCGAGGTGGAATGTCAGGATATATGCCAGATAGAATGCCAGAATATATGCCAGAATATATGTCAGATAGGATGTCAGAATATACTAAATATATGTCCAAATATACGTCCTGACATGTCATGGTGGGGATCACACGAAGTAGAGTAATTTTAATGGCGCTTCGCTTTTGTCGCTGGTTTTTCAAATGCGTTTGCTTGAAGTGTTCATAAAGTGTTCCATCTGAGTTTATTTGAATTGTGTTCTGGCATTGCATCTCGCATACATTCTGACATCTAAAAAACAGGCTTAAAGTTTGTCGATATTTTGTGTAGTATCGTTCTTTACTTACGTCCTTTTCAAAATTGGGCGCGGTTTGCGTAAGGTCCGAAAATTGTGTTCTTCTTGGGTCGTTTAGATAGTGTTCAACAAAGCAATAAGATAGATTGTTCACTACTAGCAATGACCGCGTTCGAAAAAAAAATCAAACCACGATTAGATATTGGTCAGATTCTACGTTTTCATGTCTTGAATTTAGCTGTATATGTTTATTTTTGGATAAAAATAATCGCGGATTTAGATTCCTGCATCTGGGTCCCGGGATCCGGGACCCGGACTCCGGGCCCCGGACCCCGGGTCCCGGACCCCGGGTCCCGAATCCCGGGTCCCGGATTCCAGAATCCACCTGTCCATTCTAGCTAGTAATCAAGGTTTGAAAAACTATACAGATTTGTTTCGTCTCTGGACTTTCTTTAGATCAGACCTTATAGATGTAAATAGTGTTGGCATGAGTTGTACATTTCTCGCTTGTCTACACGGATGTATTTTTGAAATATGTTCTTTTTAAAAAAAAATACTTACATGAAGACACAGGTAATCGATGATGGAAAATATTCTGCATGTCTTGGTATGGATAATGATATGTATATTGTCACCAGGTACATGTCTCTTTTACTCTTGGCACTCATGTGCAACTACACTTACGTGATTTTTTTAACCTCATGTTTTCATGCTATACCGCTTTTTTTTAATGGCGCTTCGCTTTTGTCGCTGGTTTTTCAAATGCGTTTGCTTGAAGTGTTCATAAAGTGTTCCATGTGATTTTATTTGAATTGCGTTCTGGCATTGCATCTCGCATACATTCTGACATCTAAACAACAGGCTTAAAGTTTGTCGATATTTTGTGTATTATCGTTCTTTATTTACGTCCTTTTGAAGACCCGGTGCGCTTTGCGTAAGGTTTGAAAATTGTGTTCTTCTTGGTTCGTATAGATAGTGTTCAACAAAGCAATAAGATAGATTGTTCACTACTAGCAATGACCGCGTTCGAAAAAAAAACAAACCACGATTAGATATTGGTCAGATTCTACGTTTTCATGTCTTGAATTTAGCTGTATATGTTTATTTTTGGATAAAAATAATCGCGGATTTAGATTCCTGCATCTGGGTCCCGGGATCCGGGTCCCGGATCCTGGGACCCGGACTCTGGGCCCCGGACCCCGGGTGCCGGACCCCGGGTCCCGGACCCCGGGTCCCGAATCCCGGGTCCCGGATTCCAGAATCCACCTGTCCATTTTAGGTATAAATCAAAGCTTGAAACACTATACCGATTTGTTTCGTCTAATAATCTTGGTATGAGTTGTACATTTCGCGCTTGTCTACACGGATGTATTTTTGAAATATGTTCTTTTCTAAAAAAATAATTACTTTACTTCGTGTGATCCCCACCATGACATTTATACATTTTCTTACTGGCAAATCTTCTGGCATTCTATCTGACATATCTTCTGACATTCTATTTGACATTCTATCTGGCATATCTTCTGGCATATGATCTGGCATATCTTCTGGCATATCTTCTGGCACTCTATCTGACATATCTTCTGGCATATATTCTGACATATCTTCTGGCATTCTATCTGACATATCTTCTGGCATATATTCTGACATATCTTCTGGCATATCTTCTGGCATATCTTCTGGCATTTCTTCTGACATATCTATCTGGCATATCTTCTGGCATATTTTCTGGCATTCTATCTGGCAAATCTTCTGGCATTCTATCTGGCATTCTATCTGGCATATCTTCTGGCATATTATCTGGCATTCTATCTGGCATTATCTTCTGGCATATCTTCTGGCATATCTTCTGACATTCTTTCTGACATTCTTTCTAACTTTCTTCTGCACATTCTTTGTCCCATATCTTCCTACATGAGGTCCGGCAGGGAACACTTGGCGTGGATACTCGCGGTTGAGGTCCGGCAGGGAACACTTGGCGTGGATCCTCGCGGTTGAGGTCCGGCAGGGAACACTGGGCGTGGATGGTCGTGGTTGAGGTCCGGCAGGGAACACTGGGCGAGGATGGTCGTGGTTGAGGTCCGGCAGGGAACATTGGGCGTGGATGGTCGTGGTTGAGGTCCGGCAGGGAACACTGGGCGTGGATGATCGTGGTTGAGGTCCGGCAGAGAACACTGTGGATCGCGGGTCGCAGTTGAGCAAGGACGACGAGGACGACGAGGACGACGAGGACGACGAGGACGACGAGGAGGACGAGGAGGAGGAGGAGAGGAGGACGAGGCAGGAGGAGGCGGAGGAGGAGGAGAAGGAGGAGGAGGAGAAGGAGGAGAAGGAGGAGGAGGAGGCAACTGACATAAAATCTAACAACCCTCACCTGGCAGGTGGGGAATTACATGAAGACACAGGTAATCGATGATGGAAAAAATATTCTGCATGTCTTGGTATGGATAATGATATGTATATTGTCACCAGGTACATGTCTCTTTTACGCATGGCACCCAGGTGCAACTACACTTACGTGAAAATGTTTTCATACTATACCGCTTTTTCCCCACCTGCCAGGTGAGGGTTGTTAGATTTTATGTCAGTTGCCTCCTCCTCCTCCTGCTCCTCCTGCTCCTCCTCCTCCTCCTGCTCCTCCTCCTCCTCCTCCGCCTCCTCCTGCCTCGTCCTCCTCTCCTCCTCCTCCTCGTCCTCCTCGTCGTCCTCGTCGTCCTCGTCGTCCTCGTCGTCCTCGTCGTCCTCGTCGTCCTTGCTCAACTGCGACCCGCGATCCACAGTGTTCTCTGCCGGACCTCAACCACGACCCCCCACGCCCAGTGTTCCCTGCCGGACCTCAACCACGACCATCCACGCCCAGTGTTCCCTGCCGGACCTCAACCACGACCATCCGCGCCCAGTGTTCCCTGCCGGACCTCAACCACGACCATCCGCGCCCAGTGTTCCCTGCCGGACCTCAACTGCGAGTATCCACGCCAAGTGTTCCCTGCCGGACCTCATGTAGGAATGTCAGATAGAATGCCAGATAGAATGCCAGATAGAATGTCAGATAGGATGCCAGATAGAATGCCAGATAGAATGCCAGAAAGAATGCCAGAAAGAATGCCAGATAGAATGCCAGATAGAATGTCAGATAGGATGCCAGATAGAATGCCAGATAGAATGTCAGATAGGATGCCAGATAGAATGCCAGATAGAATGCCAGAAAGAATGCCAGAAAGAATGCCAGATAGACTGCCAGATAGAATGTCAGATAAAATGTCAGATATAATGCCAGATAGAATGCCAACATATATGCCAGAATATATGTCAGATAGAATGCCAAAATATATGTCAGATATAATGCCAGATAGAATGCCAGAATATATGTCAGATAGAATGCCAGAATATATGTCAGAATAAATGACAGGTAGAATGCCAGAATATATGTCAGATGAAATGGCAGAAAATATGTCAGATAGAATGCCAGATAGACTGCCAGATAGAATGCCAGGTGGAATGTCAGGATATATGCCAGATAGAATGCCAGAATATATGTCAGATAGGATGTCAGAATATACTAAATATATGTCCAAATATACGTCCTGACATGTCATGGTGGGGATCACACGAAGTAGAGTAATTTTTAAATAGCGCTTCGCTTTTGTTGCTGGTTTTTCAAATGCGTTTGCTTGAAGTGTTTATAAAGTGTTCCATGTGATTTTCTTTGAATTGTGTTCGGGCATTCCATCTCGCATACATTCTGACATCTAAACAATAGGCTTAAAGTTTGTCGATATTTTGTGTATTATTGTTCTTTATTTACGTCCTTTTGAAGACCCGGTGCGCTTTGCGTAAGGTTTGAAAATTGTGTTCTTCTAGGTTTGTTTTCTCCAGTATAAAAGCGTTTAAAAGAGCAAGAAGGCGGATTTTGCACCAGTAGCAATGAATCAGCGTTCGAAAAATATTGCCCTGTTTTTGTTCAAATGTTTTTTTTGCGTTTTGTATTTACATCATTTTACATCTGTTTTTGTATTTACAATCTTTTTCTGCCGATCTGCAACTGACACCGGCTCCTTCACGACCATGACAGGCACAGACTGGGCCATAGACCGCATCCACTTCGGAAGCTCCAGCTGCAAGTCGAAAGCCATACGAAGATAGCAATACAAGCTGCACGTCCTGGTGTGGCCAGACACATAGGTGAAGGTGTCGCTGTCACCCTGCCGCACGACCTTCATCGGGCCAAGCCACCCTTCTGATTGGAACATTGCTACCAGCTTCTCCTTCCAGTGCGCGCCGTGAACGTTGGGAAGTTACAGTGGGAGCATGCAAACTTTATGCTCCAAATCTTCCAGAAACAACAATGATTCGTGCGATCCCCATCTTGACCGATCTCTTTAGAAGTTGAGGTCCCGTGGAAGAAGGAGGAAGAGAAGAGATAATATATGATCTAACAAATCTCACCTGACAGGTGGTGTCTTAGTTGCTCTGCTCGCCTGCGTCAAACAGAGCAACCAATCGTTTCATAGAGCAAATAGCTTGGAAAAGAGTGGTTTTCGGATGCTAGTTGCTTTGTTCGACTCCGAGTTGCTCTGCTCGCCTCCGTCCAACAGAGCAACCAAACGTTTGGCATGTGTCGGTTTTGTCTGGCAGGCCGATATGGGGGATGAGTACGATATTTTTTTACTACTACTACTACTACTACTACTACTAGTAGTAGTCGTAGAAGTATTAATAGTACGCGCGGGTTCCGCACGTTATGCGCGTCTGCGTCTCGCCGTCTCGCGCGGGTTCCGCCCGTGTTCTTCTGCGCGGGTTCCGCGCGCGTGGTCGCATGTCGCATTCAAATTTCTTAAAGAAATTAAAAATATTACGACGAATCTTAGTACTACTTCTACTAATTGTAATTTAACCAATATTACGGTTAGTATCATTTCTACTACATCTACGATATATTATTATTACTACTACTGCTGCTGCTACTACTACTACTGCTACTACTACTACTACTACTACTGCTAGTACTAGTACTAGTACTAGTACTAGTACTACTACTACTACTACTACTATAATAATACTACTACTACTATAATACTACTACCACTACTATAATACTACTACTACTACTACTACTACTACTACTACTACTACTATACTACTATAATACTACTACTACTACTACTACTATTACTACTACTACTACTACTATTACTAAAAGTATCACTTTAATAGTAAGCGCAGGTTCCGCGCGTCTACGTTTCGCGCGGTTTCCGCGCGTAACGCGCGTCTGCGTTTTGCGTGGGTTCCGCGCGTGTTGTTCTGCGCGGGTTCCGCGCGTGTAGCCGCATTCAGATTTCTTAAAGAAACTAATATATTACGACGAATATTACTACTTGGGAACCTTTACATAATAACCTTGGGGACCTTGAGAACAATGACGTGGAAAACTTGGAAACCTTGAGGGAACCTTTACAATACAACCTTGGAAACCTTGACAACCTTTACTTGGGAAACTTGGGAATCTTGAGGGAACCTTTACAATGCAACTTCGGAAAGCTTGAGGAAACCTTGACAATATAACCTTGGAACCCTTGAGAACCTTTACAATGTAACCTTGGGAACCTTGAGGGAACCTTTACAATGCAACCTTGGAAAGCTTGAGGAAACCTTGACAATATAACCTTGGAACCCTTGAGAACCTTTTACAATGTAACCTTGGGAACCTTGAGGGAACCTTTACAATACAACCTTGGGAACCTTGGAAAACTTGGGAACCTTCGGGAGAACCTTGAAGAAACCTTGAAGGAACCTTGAGGGTACCTTTTGGGAACCTTGAGGGAACCTTGACAATCTAACCTTGGGAATCTTATAGAAACCTTTACAATGTCACCTTGGGAACCTGGACCACGTTTACTTGGGAACCTTTATATAATAATCTTGGGAACCTTGACAACCTTTACTTGGAAAACTTGGGAACCTTGCAGGGAACCTTGAAGGAACCTTGAGGTAACCTTTTGGGAACCTTTTGCGAACCTTGAGGGAACCTTGAGGAACCTTGGGAACCTTGGGAACCTTGAGGGAACCTTGAGGGAACCTTGAGGGAACCTTGGGAACCTTGAGGGAACCTTGGGAACCTTGGGAACCTTGGGAACCTTTACTTGGGAACCTTTACTGGAAGCTTTACTTGGGAACCTTTACTTGGGAACCTTTACTTGGGAACCTTTTCTTGGGAACCTTTACTTGGGAACCTTTACTTGGGAACCTGGGAACCTTTACTTGGGAACCTTTACTTGGGAACCTGGGAACCTGGGAACCTGGGAACCTTGGGGGAATCGGTTTTGGAGCTGCTCCGGTCTGCTCCGAAGCCTTTACTATGGCTGAAGACCCCAAAGCATTCTGCTGTTGGGGAAAAAAACAAGCAAACTCGCAACAACAAACACCCAAACACTGGGGCTGTTCCCTGACTGGACACTCCCCCTGCCTTTGCATCACCACCTTGGTGCAACATCCTTTTTGTCCGCATGGCCACATGGAAAATCAGAGTCAAGAAATCACAGAATCGTCCGCAAAGATGACCTTCAAAATACATCAAAATACAATATAATGGCGACAAGAACATCATAATCATTTTCATAGTTGTCGTCGTCATCATCATCACCATCATCACGCATCATTATCATCAAAAAAAATGATGAAGGCCATTATCATCATCATATCATCATTATCATCACCATCACCATCATACAGCTTAAGGTGAATCAAAAAAATCCTTTTCCTGTCCAAATCCAAAGGAGCTCGTGACCTGTCCAGGTGGTCCACCTGGGCCTCGCACCACAGCGATCCACCAACTCCTGTCTATGGCTACAGGAAGCTACCCCGAAACAAATGAACGAGTTGGTGGAGTCAGCAACATTCGAACATCAGCTAACAAAGATGGGAACTCATGATATACGGCTATGGGTCAAAATTGGGTACCCCATCCCAATACTTAGATAGTTGATACTAAAATATATACGGAAATGACTAAACTCTATGGTCCCCATTATGGGAATCTTTGTCCACCTTCATGGGAAAACTCGCCAATGATTACCGAATTCTTGCCAACCTTCACCTAGCAACACATTCACCTTCACGCCGTTTAGGAATCTCATCAGATTGGCGATTTCTGTTGGTAGCCAGCTGAGGATTGACTTCTGCCACCTTTTTCGAAAATCCGAAACTAGGGATTAAGAAGACATCTGAACTTGAGGCCCAGGGGTAAGGGACGAAAGCTAGCTTGGCAGGCAGCTTGGCATGAAAACACAATCAGAGGATGCAGATGCTGCCGATGTTGCTACCGGTGGCGACATGCCCACGATGTCCGCGGGGGGGGTTGAGCCAGAGCCAAACTGCTTGTGAACCAGCCGAAGGCGGGGAAGGGGGGATAGTTAACTGTGAAGTTTCACACGATTGGAGATTCACGAGGGACTTCATCTAGCAGAAGCTAGCTTTCGTGAAAAATAAAACAAACCTTAAAGAAATCAAGATTTTGTTCACATCGCCACTTCAACGAGAATCATAAGCACCTCTAAGCGGATTTCCATGGAGGAGATCAGCGGCTCGTGGCGAAGCACGCGATGCACCACCTGAGGAAAGGATGAAATGGCCATTAACATGTTCGGCCAAAAACATGAGGAAAATTGGAGCAATTTGGATAGAATATGTTGGTAATATGTCGGTGCTATGTTGGTCTAATCATGCTGGTCTAAGCCTATTTTAAGGAACCCAAAATAGGCTGGTGTTAGCGACTGGTGATTGTAGCTGAGTGCACCATACAGTGGGAGCAGGAGAACAAGAAGACACCCCTTTAAGATACGACTTTTCTGAAGATAAGCTACCTCTAAATGACTCTAAAACATTCTAAATCCACTGATTGATCATCATTTTATATCATGTTCCCCTACAGCCACATACCACCTGCTCTCCTTCTCAGCGGCAAGCTGAAGACACCTCGCCTCATCCAGTCGTTGAGACAAAGCTTTTAACTCTACATCCAGCTCGAGGCGGGGCCTTGGCACAGGGTCACCTGTCACCCCCTGACACCTGGAATTTTCTTGGATCCAAAACACCTGTCACAACGATTCCAGCGATGCGCAAACTCTTGTGTCCGCGCAAAAAAAAAAACGTGTTCATTTAGCGCAGATCTCCAAAACCAGTCAACAGAATGGTATGACTCGCAGAATCCAAACTGGAGAACCCCAAGACAAGAGGGTTTCAGATCCTAAAAATGCATAAAAATGCCACAATTGGTGGTTCCACCAGTCCCAGATTCGATTAAAGCAATGTAGACCATCCTTGGCGGGACAATCTGAAAGGATTTCTTTAATCGAGACCTTTTTTTCCGATTCAATGGGTGTCTGTCTTCGGCATCGCAAAACTCAGATTCTCGAAACATTCGGACGGTGGTTGGTGCTCTCATCGCATGCCAAAGTTATATGCCTGATCAATACATTTCGGGTGAGTTCAAGCCTAGAGATGGAGAAAAAATCGAAACCACCAACCAACATGACATGATATGTGATAATTATATATGATTGCGCTTGAGGCTGCAGAAGCTTCTTGCAGCATGCTTCGGATGGCTAAGCATTGTTCCGGTGGGGACTAGACTGGCGACAAGGCGAGGCAAATTTGCAGTCGCAAAGGAAACTCTTCCGCATCTCTTTGATGTGTCGAGTTCACCCCTTTGATGATGAAAATATATTAAAATGTGTATCAAAATGTGGGGTTCATGTTTGCTTGCAGGGACCTCGAATCAAATGGAGACCTTACAAGCTCGAACTGACCTTGGGCTCAAACAAATCCTCCGTCTGATCTGAATCAAGCGCAAAATGCCTGTTCAAATAGCTGAAAATCCTGGGATTTGAGAGAACATCGGGTAGCCCCAATTCCAAAGGATTCAACTGTTTTTTCCATAATGGCAAATTAAATGGACCCCGTGTTGGACAAACCTGCTAGGTAAGGTAAGTGTCAAAACCCCTGACCTGGTTTTCAAAAGACCTTTCAGTTATGAATCTTCATCCCCTTATGACATGGGACAAATTTGGGTAACGGTATGATGAACAGTCAAAACTCTCCAATTCTGCGGTCCCCCTGCGTTTGAATTGTGTTCCAATGTCCAATCTTAAAAAAAATACCTTTAGACTCCTGCTAAAATACTGGTAAATTCAACATCTTTTTGGGGCAAAATCTCATGGCGTTTCATCGCCAAGCGCCCGACCAAACCGGACACATGTTTGCCGCTGAAATCTGCTGTTTGTTGATAGTATCCCTTTGAATCTCAATGGTTTCTCTATATGATATACCAATGTTGATGTGTCCAGAAACAGGGATTTAGCAATGAGAATGGGTGACCATGGGGGAATCAGGAATGATACCTGATTCACCCATACCCATGGTGTTTTCTTATATCCCAGAATGGGCGAATGATAGCTGTGAGACCAGCGGATGATGCAAAAACCGGAGGGTACAGGGTCTATCAGGGTCCAACAGGTCGCTGGGATAAAACCTGATCTCATGCCCCAGTTTGGGTCACTGGGAGATATTTGCATCAATTTATACACTACATGTTTGTCGCTGTTTGCCTACATTTTTTGGTTGGTGATGTTGTTTTCCCAGTTGCTGTATGATACGGTCAGTTGTGGCTTGAGTACCACCTTATATACCGCAGTTTGGCGGCTCAAACGGTAAAAACACTTGGTTTGTGGATCAAGAATTTGCACGAGGTCACTCATTTATTCTTTCGGTATCTCTCCTTGTAAACATCCTTCAGCGGCTTCCAAGGCTACGGCTGCTAGACCTTCAGAGCTGAACTACTCATTGCCACTTTGGTATGGCTGGCAGCACAGGCACAGATCAGGGGCAGTCCGAACCTCAAAGTGGTCCATGTAATGCTCTTTGAGGGTTCCCCAGTTCTTCCATTTCTCTTTCAGGCAAAATGTCTCAACCTTGGAAATCTGGGCCTGCTGTGCTGCATGTAAAAATTTAGCAAATTTGTGTCTCAAGTCATTCTTTGGACCTCCAAGCCATTCAATTGTAAAAGATGGCGGTCCGTAAAATTTGACGGACACCTTTCTTGACCAGTAGCAAGTTCTTGAGGAAACACAATGACGCCGCTCACTTGTAGTTCGTTCATTTCAGGAGCAAATGAAGACAGATATGTAAGACCATTAACATTGTCCATTTCTAAATCCACTGCGAAATGGCCAGAATGGCCTCAAGACCCACCAGTCAACTATGCATGGACCAACCTCAGCTGGTTCCCAATCTAACTCTCAATCATCGGCTTCAGTGCACATGGTGTGATGCCTCTGGCCCTTTTCTGCGCCAGTTCACCGGTGTGTTGCTGCCTCACCACGAGGTTCTTGAAGGGCTCTGGCCGCACTGGCTCGGCTGAAGGCCGCTGCGAAGGCTGCAATGCACCCACCGGCAGCGGCCCGGCCCTGACGGCCGTGGTGGCCGTGGTGGCCGTGGTGGCCGTGGTGGCCGTGGTGGCCGTGGCGTGCCGTGCCTTCCAGGTGCGCCGAGGCGCTGACGCGTCTGGAAGCGGGGCAGCCTGGGCGGAGCAACAGCCTCCTCAACAAGATCCACCCTAGGCCCTTGGATCCAAGGTAAACAGCTGTCGGTGTCGCATTTCTGCTCGTGTTTTTCCGTATTTTGCCCCCCTAAATCCCCTTAACCTTTGAAACTGCAAAAACGGGTCACATCTCCCAATGACCAACTCCCGGCCTTTGAGGAAGGACTCTTCTCCTGTTGCTTGGACTTGGACAAGACTTTGAAGAGGAGTTCGGTCTCAGGACCTCGTCACAAAGCACAGAAAAAATGTGCTTAAACTTAAACTGAATCAGTTTGCCTCCTTATTTCGCAGGAACTCCATGGCTTTTCACTACCCAATCTTGTTTCAGGTGTTCCTATCAAATGATCCCTTCAGGTAATAGCGTCACAATTTTCTCTCAAAATGCTTGACATTGTAGGTTTTTGTTAATTTCCAACTTCCAAGCAGTTCAAAACGAAATGTCATCCATTTTTAGGGTGTCCACATGTTTCCATGTTTGTTTCCTAGACCGTCACCCCCAATGAGTGGTTCCACCAAATGGGCGAGGGACAGTTCCGCGGCTTGTGCTTCGCCTCTGGTGGCCACAGAGCTTCATCGTCAGTGACGGCACCTGGATCGGACGCAAAAACGATCTGTATCAATGGACCAATGGATTGATTCAAGGAAAAAAATGGGAAAAAACATATGGACTTAGCATTAAACCATCAAATGGTGATTTATATAAAGACCAAATATGATTCTCAATGGAATGATTCAAGGGAAAACCGAAACTGGAAAGCATGGGGTTTGAGCATCTGCCGCCAATTCTGGGAATCAGGATTCTCTGCCGATGCCAATCCAAGTGGCATTCTGATGCTGTAGATTCGACCTGCTGTCCTTGCACAGATGGGTATGTCGTAACCATGGTTTGAACAACCATAAGTTGGTATCGAGCCCCTGTAGTTGTGGGTATATAATATTAATATACATATACATATACAGATACATATACATATACCTATACGTATACGTATACTTATACATATACATATACATATACGTATACGTATACATATACATATACATATACGTATACGTATACATATACATATACATATACGTATACGTATACATATACATATACGTGTATATATATATACGTATATATATAAACGTATACGTATACGTATACGTATACGTATACCTATACATATACATATACATATACATATACATACACATACATATATATATATATACATACATACATACATACATACATATAAATATATATATATCATATATCCATATATCCATATATCCATATATCCATATATCCATATATCCATATATCCATATATCCATATATCCATATATCCATATATCCATATATCCATATATCCATATATCCATATTGTTCCAGGGTTTGGCCAAAGTGGATTTCGATTTGGATGAAACAGGCCCCACCAAACAAAATCAAAAAACAAGTAACAATAGTTGCGTTTGCATATCATATACCCCACCATGGCAATGGTGCACTCGCAATCTCCACAAGTAGTCTGGGTCAACAAAAATTGTTTTTCTGTATACAATCGCTGGTCGTTACCCCCCCAAGTAATGGCATGTGCCACACCTGTCTCATCCTCATTGTGGAGACCTGGTCGTGTTCATACCCAAAGTGTCCGATTCGGGAGTTTGACTGGCTACTAATCAAATTGCGTTCTGCCTCCAAAAACCTCCCTGGCTTTGGACCCCAGAGTGAAGACTTAAGAACTTCGTTTCAAATGTTTAAAGCAGCATCATCATCGTCGTCGTCGTCGTCGTCATCATCATCACCTTGTGTTTCCTGTGCCATCGCCATGATCTCGATTCTGTGAATATCTCAAAATCTGCCCATGTTAGTGATTTACCCTCAAGTACGGCAGCATGAGAATGAATAAACCACCATGAAAGTAGATGGTTTCGGAAACCATGGGTTTCATATTCGTGTTTAAACACGTTCCTTCCAAACCCCAGGTTCGCCCACACCCAAAGAATACACCCAAACAATATCATATACTTGCCACCAGAGGATAAATGAAATTACTGGCTATACGCAGCGATTTTGACTTTAGGCTTTTGGGATTTAGGTTTTTAGTTTAGGGTTTAGGTTTTTAGGGTTTTAGGGTCTTAGGGTTCTAGGTTTTGGAAAGTTTAAAAAAACGCTAGCCCTACACAGGGATTTGAGCATGTCAAAGGATATGCGGGATCCGATGCGGGCAAACGTGGGGTTTGCAGCGAACATGTGAATATACTGGAGAGTAATTGTTGTTGCAAAACATCCAATGATGGACAATTTGCCTCGTTGAAACCACACCACTTGGACATGCTTTCGGCATCGATCCCACTGACCTCTTTGACCCAAAAGCCCGAGTTTTCCTGTACATGTTCCATCATTTTCCGTTGATATTTCCAAATATTTCCCATGCAAACAATTCTGGAAATTGTGCAACGCCATGCAGATCCTACAGAAATCAATCGAGCAGCCAAGGCAAGGTGCATCGCGGATGGACATGGCACAACCGCGCAGAATCTGGGCGTTGTGTCACGCAAGATCTGGCACCTGAGCTGTTACTGAACCATCTGGTCTGCCGACTGCGGTGTTGGCTTGAGAAGAAAATGCCACCTGGCGGCCCAACGGCAGTTTCTGGTTTCAATCAAGGCAATACAAGCAGAAATCATATCACTTGGTATTTAGCGCAATAACTACTGTCTGGGTGTCCGTCTCATTTGGTCGCTGATTGTCATCCATTTTCTTTATTAAATTATAAGTATAAATGGCGAAACTGCAAGAATCAGAAATGCACCACTGATACTAGCACAGACTCGAAATCAACTGCCTGTTGAGTGTGGGATGATCGTTCACATATGAATTTAGTGAACAGAACTTTCGTACGGAAACCTATTTGATGGTTAAATTGTCCCTCGAACCCATACAACATGTTAATTTTCCAAACTCTATGGATGAAACCTGTTGTTCAATTCAAGTTCCCACCGCCACGGGGTTCCCAGCACGAAATGGGGCCATGCAGATGTCATGGCAAGCTGGCCGACGAGAGTTTCAGAGAAAAATGAATCCGGCCAAACACCAACGATATCTCAAGGTGTTGTTTTATTTCCATGTTTTTCTTGGGTAAATGGATATGAATAGTGTCACTACCTCGCACATCCAATGGTGAATTCTAGGGCAAACCATTTTTTTGACATCAACGTCAAAGCCTCCATGACGTATGATGACAAAACAAGGTGCTGAAAATCATGCTCGTCCTCGCAACCATGTCTGCTATAAGCAGTTGTGAAAATGATTGATCATGGGCGCGCACGAATGCTCAAGACTGCTCAAAAAACTGCGGCACAAACTAAATGTGCAGTCCCAACACTGCCTAGCACATGCAAGCTGTCCAAACTATATTTGGTTGCATCCGATTGTCACTCGTCTGTGATCCAAGGCCAATTTTAATTGTCCCACTTTCCCTTAAACTGCATCCACATCAATTGCACTTACAAACAGTGGGGTGGGTGCCAACATTTTTTTTCTTTGATAGCGAAACGCCTGTGGATACATATGTAATTCACCTGTACATGCATGACATGGCAACTCAGTATGATAACATGTTGAAGTCAACGCTTCAAGTAAATGCCAAGCACGCAGTTGTTTCCAATGCTATGTATATGGGACTTGGATACGGTCAAATCCATTCACCCCGCCTCAACCTGTAGTCGTTTGACTGTAGGTTGCTAAACATCCCTCTGTTTGCAACTGCAAACATTCAGCTAATGTTTCAAGGCAATTGGGCTCAGCTGCAAAGTGCAAAGGTTATCGAGGTACTTTTTCATTCAAATATTCGCGCAATGATTGCGAGAACTGCTCACCAAATCTCGTCACATCTCATCACATGTGCTGATTGCAAGGGTTGCTTAACCAAGGTTGTGCATCAAACCAGCGCACTCTGTGATCTGGAGATCCAATCAGCCCATTTCCTCCACATCGTTGTTCTCAGAAGCTACACCATATTCTCGCTCCAATCGCTTCATCCTGTGCTGGAGAATTGCATTTGTGTCTCTCATCATCTGCTCAATGTGCCCATCACTGTACTTTCTGTGATCGTCTGGAGGAGCTGTTGCACTTGGTACACCATGGTTCCATAACTGCCAAAGTTCTGGTTCTGAAATTTCGTGCGTTCCAGACTCAGTGTACCTTTTGTACTCCTCCTGAGGAATTTCATGAGCACTTTCATCATCGGTAAGAAGTTCTTCTTCAGTTCATTCAGCATGTTTTTTTCCAAGTTTTTTTGATTGGAATTTTTCCTTCCCTTCCTGCAAAAGGTTCAGGACATTGGTTAGTGTATCATTTCATCTATGTTGAGATCTCTCACTATCAAACCAAAATGGACTGCCTTGGGCATTGTGAAATGTAGTAATTGCTCAGCAATTTTGGCTTCATCAGAGTTGCTCAATTCAACGGTGAAAGTCGGCACCTTTGGTGAAAATCTGTTAGCACTGTGGTCCACCGGAAAAACGTTGCAGCCAGCTCGTCCCATGGCATGTGAACTACCAGGCCGTGAGAAGAACTCCACGAATGACGCTTGGCGTCGTGCGTGGCTGGCTTTCCTGTGACCCTAGTCAGTGTTCGCATTGGTTGCACCGCCGCTTTGCACCACTTTTGAAACACTCATGAGCCCCAAACTTGCACTTGGTTTCCTTCTGCTTATTGCAAAGCCCCCATTGATACTTAAGGCAACGCCACCCGTTTGGACCCTTACGTTGACACCCTTGGGGAAGTTTCCGCCAATTCGTCCATGACGGTGCTGCTGTAGATTGGGTGGTCCTCCACTCCCGTCCGAAGCTAACTTGGGTTTCTTCGGAATCGGTGTCGCCGGTTGTTCAGGTGCATCTCTGTTCTGACCTGGCAGTGGAGACAAACAGCACAGCACTTCAGGAGATGTAGTCAACTGTTCAATCATGGTGTCCAAGGGGTAAACTTCTGGTCAATGGAATGTAGGTTGCCACGGCTCTGCTGAGAAAGCAACATCCAAAACTCCTTGTCACACTCGCAAACCTGTTGAGTTGAAATGTAGCGGAAACCTGTTGGTGGTTCCTTGAGTTTGGCAAGCATCAACTTCGTTGCCCACTTTTCCAAAACAACAAAGCTGGCAAATCCTGCTTGATCAAACACTAAGTTCCTCCTTGTCCAAGCGTTTCTCAAATTCAAATCACCATTGGTGTCACATGTCAATTCTGCTGCACGTTTGCCCATCTTCACATTGCCAGCGGCATCAAATGTCAAGGCAACCTAATTTTTCTCTTGTTGAATTTCTTGGATGCGACTGATACACTTTGAGGTGGAATAAAAACTAGACGAGGGATGGCCCCAGAGCGTAGAAGAGCATATTACTCTCTTGTAAGTAGTACCAAAGACATTGTAGGCATTGAAGATGATGCAGGTGATCAGCAGAAAGGAGATAGAAATGCTATGTCAGATTCTAGGCAGAAGCAGACAAAGATAGACACAAAATTTGAGAGACCGACAGAGACAGACAGCAAAGAAACACATACACACACAGACACACAAACAAAGATACAGACACAGACGCACACACACACACGGTACACAGACAGACACCACACGCACTAGACAAAATTGGATCTTTTAAGTGATCCATCAGGAACTGAGTCCTTTAAAGTGCAAATCAGACTAGCAACATGGACCTGAAGTAGATCTCTTCGATGAAAATCGCGAATAAATAGATGGTCTTCCGAAAACGTTGAACGTAGACAAGACTAGAATCCAAACCGCCAAATAAATAGCCACGTCAGGGTTCTCGGCTTAGCCCTTCGCCATCTCGAAGAATACCACATGAACCAAGTAGGAAATAACGTCGAAAAATAAATTCAGATTGCGACAACCGTGTAAAATTCAAAACCCATTTTTGAGGTTCTCGGCTTAGCCCCTCGCCATTTTCGGAATAAAACATCAATAGGCAGGTACGTCACGGTGATCAGCCGTGATATCCGCATGTACTGTGGCCGCTTCGTTGGACCATCGCACACAGTACATGGATGGTCCCCCTGCAAACATCAACATTCGTAGACGTTTGAATAAACAGGAAGTTTTTCATCTGTACAGATGTTCCACACACACACACACACCCTGCCGCAGCAGGGTCGTTTTCCGGAAGAATGACACCATGTGGGAGCATATTTCACAGAATATGTGGTACACGGCCACTCAGGATGTCTCAGAAGGGCTGGAAGACACAAGAGCTCGAAGACCTTCGGTAAAGGCTGTGATCTGCTCGACGGTCAAGGCATTGGTGGGTTCACTGGTGATGGCCGTTGGACCTGTTCCCGATGGTGGTGGGGCGAAGAGGCGTTCCTGAACTTGAGCAGCCAATGTTGCGATACTTGCCCGGGATGTTTGTGTAGCGGAAGGCAGATACCCTCGGCAGAGGGATGGGGGCGATCTTCTTGAGGGGGGGAGGGGGGGAGGGGGGGGTCTTCTTAAGGGGGGGAGGGGGTCTTCTTTAGAAGGCGGGGGGGGGGGATCTTCTTCTTGGAGGGGAAGGGGGGTCTTCTTTAGAAGGGGGGGGGATCTTCTCAAGGGGGGGGGTTTCTTGGGGGGGGGATCTGGGGGGGGGGGGTTTTCTTTGGGGAGGTTTAGGGGGGGGTCTTCTTCAGAAGGGGGGGGATCTTCTTAAGGGGGGGAAGGGGAGTCTTCTTTAGAAGGGGGGGATCAGGGGTTCTTGTTTGGAGGGGGGACGACGACGACGACGAAGTGTTTACATTAAATGCCAGAGATGAAGATGATGTTGTTGTTGTTGT